ATTAGAGGTAAACAGAAAATCACAGCCTGCTGACCAATCGATTATCCAGATAATGGTGTCTCTGTTCCTGGAAGATCTCTCTGACAGCAGCGTTTCTCTTCAGCTGTGTTTCTGCAGACTTACCTGATTAAAAGGAAAAAGTTTGAATGAGTGCAGGATCTGAGCAGTGACTGATCTTAAATGTATGCATTTATTTATTTTATCTCTTTACTGTAGAGTCGAGAGAATCAAGGGACAAGATGCAGTTGGGATGTTCACCTTTCATTCACAGCTCACGTTCATTTGTATTCTGATTATTGTTTGTATTTCTGCAAGTATTTTATTTGTTCTTAGTTGAATGTTGTCATGGAAACGGTGCATGTAGTGGAATTTTTGTTGTTGTTTATTTTTTTTGAAGCGAATATGAAGTGTTTGTTTCAAAGTTGCAGCTGTTGACAAATTAAATCAGATTATTTGTTATTAAAAAGAAAGCTGGATTACCTCTGAGCGTCATCTTCTTCTGTGGCTTAAAAAAACAGATCCACTTCCTGTGGCAGGTTCTGATCCTGCACATGGTTTTATTTTTGCCGGTTGACATTTGCTCCTCATTCATGCCACTGAACTTTACTCTAACCCTCTTTGCTCTGCATGTTGACTCCATTGATTAGATGTTAAAGCTTCTTATGTGCTTTGACGTAAACGGTGACACATGAAGACCTTTGGGCGTAGCACCGCTTCCTATCAAGCTGCTGTTTGTAAAGAGGCTTCATCCATAAATCACAGCAATAAGAACTGATCGTTTTGAAACACTGATCAGTTTGATTTGAGAGAATATTTAAAATGAATGTGTGGTGGTGTTGTATGGCAGCAGGAATCGTGTCATCTCTTAAGTCTGATTTTAATCCAATATTAAAAAATGAAAATCTTGCTTTCATGTCCTGTTTGACAGAGCAGAGGTTCTTCTCACAGTTGACCTCAGATGTGAGACGGCTGATTGTCTCATTATTGAAAACTAAACATTGTCTGAGTGACGTCAGAGCTGCTCATTTAAAAACATCTGAGAATAAGCCTCAGAATCAGGGAGCACACCGAGCGTCGCTGGCCAGCATCTTTTAGTGTCCGTTACCTGTCGGCAGTCCTTCAGCACAATGGTCAGCAGCAGGATGCTGCTTCTCGGTGCCTCCTGCTGGCTGCTCGTTGTTTTAGGGCGTTGCGAGGAGCCAATCGAAGAGAGATCAGCCGAATACGACGCCATCGAGACACAAGAAGAGAAAGAGCTGGTGAGTAGCAACGTCATGGCTGACCTATGATGGGTCATGATGATGCTATAAAGACAAAGGGGCTGATTGTTGGGGCTGCAACTATTTTTTTTTCATTACAAATTTTGTTTCTGAATTGTTTTGTCTGTACTAACCCACAACAGCAACGCCTTTAGGAACAAATCTGAAGCTAGGTCTGTCGTCCATTCTGCATGACCATGTTGTCCATCAGCTGCTGCCTGCAGGTTGAGTTTTGCAAATTTGAGATTTTGGTCAGTCTTGTATTTTATTTGGCTTTCCTGCAAACAGGACTTGCAAGAAATGTTAAAAATTAGTCGGCTTTGATTGATATAAACTAAATCCAGTACAAACTTCAGGGCTGAGCCACCTTCTTGTATTGGCTGTATCATAAAGGCTTCCTTTGCAGTAAAGGAGAGAGGGGGGCTCAGTTATTCAGCCATCATGCTGACATCATCATCTAGAGCTGTTAAATTATGCTAGCATTTTCTTCATTATGAGAAGTTGACTTGAAAATGTTACCAGTTTAATTGAAGCAGTTTAGTGTTAACATGCTAATGATTATCACGGGCAAAGCTGAATGCTTTAGGCCTCTTTAAGGCC